TTTGACTCTCAGTTTCAAGACATTTTAGTTTACAGTCCTTGACTGTGTGGATTCTGGGCCTGTAGTGATGTAGAATATCATGGTAGTGGAAACATGTGGTAGAAGCTACTTACCTCATGGCTTGACAGGAAGGAGAGAGTGGAATGGACTAGGTATAACTTTCAGAGGGACATTTCTAGTGGTCTCCTTCCTCTGCCTGTGCTTTACTTCCTACAGTTTCTATATCCTCTGCTGTCTTCGGGTTTTAACTGCTGTGATAAAACACCACGACCAGAAGCAGTTTGGGCAGTATGTTAGTCTGGGTTCCCTAGAGGAACAGACTGTATAGAATGAATCTCTCTCTCTCTCTCTCTCTCTCTCTCTCTATATATATATATATATATATATATATATATATATATATATATAGATGGGGGGGAGATTTATTGGCATGGTTTTCAGGCTGTGGTTTAGCTAATCCAGTAATGGCTGCCTATGAACAGAAGTTCCAAGAATCCAGTAGTAGTTTAGTACACAACCTGGATGTCTCAGCTGGTCTTTAGTATATAACGAAATATATCTATTCAGTATATACAAAGAAGTTGGCTCTAATGCCAGTGAAGGGCGGACTTGTTAGCAAGAGTGAGAGCAAGCAGGAAAAGAGAGAGACATTTCCTTCTTCCATGTCCTTTGTATAGGCTGCCTGCTGAAGGTGTGGTTCAGGTTAAAGTAGATCTTCACACCAAAAAAGATCTGGATTAAAGGTTTATCTTCACCTGAAAGACCCAGATTAGAAGTAAGTCTTCCCACTTCAAATTATTTAATTAAGGAAAAAAAATCCCTTACAAGTGTGCCTAGTCATTTGGGTTTCAGTTAATTCTGTATGTAGTTGAGTTGACAGTCAAGAATAGCCATCACAGGGAGGAAAGGGTTTATTTCACCCTACACTTCCAGGTAACAGTCCATCATCAGAGGAAATCTGGGCAGGGACTCAAAGCAGGAGTCTGGAGGCAGGAGTTGAAGCAGAAGGACATAGAGGAATGCTATTTACTGGCTTACTTATTCATGGCTTGCTCAGCCTGTTTTCTAAATTATGGCACCCAGGACCACCAATCCAGGGGTGGCACCACCTACAATGGACTGGAGCCTCCCCCATCAGTCATTAGTTAAGAAAATGCACTACATACTTGACTACAGGCCAACCTTAGGGAGGCATTTTTTCAGTTGAGAGTCCCTCTTCCCAAATGACTCTTGTTTCATGTTGACATAAAACTAGCTAGCACATTCCTTAATAGTGCCACCAAACTGCCAAAATGAATAATTTTGTAAAATGTTTTTGAATGAGCCAAAAGGACTGTATGCTTTATAAGCTAGATACTTGAGTATTTCTTTGAATGTAATCTGTTTGGATGAGGAACCAAATTTGAGAATAGGTAGTATTGGTATAATGATGTTCTAGGGTTTGTTTTGATCATTGGTGATGTTTAAACATTTTTCTTTTAATAAAAAAACTTCCTGAGTCTCATTTTTAACTATGTATTTTTAAAGCATTTCTGCTGTTGAAAAAAAATACTGTGTGCCCAGTGAAGACTTTATTAAGTGTGTTTATTTAATATAGTCATAGTCACAGAACAAAGGAAATGTGTTGAAGCTGAGGACATAAGTTAAATAGTTTGAAAATTATTAGCAACTTATTATTAGTGTGCTTTTTTTCTGAGTGATATTTTAATTTCTTTAAGATATTCTGCTTTTGTTGGACTTCTGGTTTCCTGTTTCAGGTTTTTGTCAGAAATAGACTTACTGAAACATTAGTAACTGTTTGACTTCCTCCTAAAACTGATGTGATTTTTTTAAAATAAGCATCTTTAAATTCCTCACTGAAATTTTTTCTCCAGTCTGGAGAGGTGGGTCAGCTGGCAAGTGCTTGCCCACTGTGCTCAAGCCCTGGGCTTTATCCCAGCACTCCACAGACTGAGGAAGGCACACGTAATATCATAGTCCTTCGCAGGGTCATACTCAGCTAAATAGTGAGTTTGGGACCAGACAGGGACACATGACATCCAGTCCAAGAGGGGAAGGACGAAAGGAGGAGAGGGGGACAGGGAAAGAAATACATGCTAATTTAAAAAAAACTACAGAAAATGGGAAAAGACATGGTGGTACACAGTTTTAATCTCAGCACCCAGGAGGCAGAGAGAGGCAGGTTGATCTCTGTCAATTCTAGGCTAGCCTCCTCTAAATAGTGAGTTCTAGGCCAGCCAAGTCTACATAGTGAGATCGTGTCTCAAAGAACAAACAGAAAAGTAAAATTTACTATGTTCCTATTGTTTTTTTTTTTTTTTTGGCATTTTACTTTGTCTTTTTCCACCTTCAGTTTTCTGTATATATTTACGTCATCCTCCCTAGGCTCTCCTGTTAAGTAGAATTAATATTTCAGTGTCAGTTTCCCCCTTCCTCCTTGTTTGCAACCGAACCTTCTTAGTCTTCACCAGTGGGCCCGCCAGGACCACCGGCCCACAAGCCACAAAGGCTCTTGTGTCCCCATGCCCACCCCCTCTCTGTAGGAGCACTGAGATTACAGGTGTGCCTCACCACTCCGGCTTTACATGCATTCTGGTGACTCAAGCTTCAGCCTCATGCTCTAGGGCAAGTACTCTACCCACTGAGCCAGCTCCACAGGCTAACCTAGTGCTGAATGAATCATTTTACATTCTTTTAAGTTTTTAAAGGCGTTTTAGAACTTCTGAGTCTCCCTTTCAGAGACTTATGGGTAATTTGTTGTTGTTGTTTTCTTTTTCTATCATCATTACTACAGTGAACAGGAGCCCAACACTATCTGCAAGGGGAGAAAAAATTCCCAAATCCTATGATATTGGAGGTTTTGGTCAGGAGAGCTGAATAAAGAAAGACTCCAAAATTATGGAATTATGTAATAGACACATTCATTAAATTAAATTGTGCTGCATATACTCTCCTCCTTTCTATAACACCGAAAATGTAAGTGCCGACTGCTAGGTGCGTAAGGACTTGGAGATGAGACAGAATCTTGAACTGTAGCCCAGGAAGTCCTGCAACTTGCTACATAGCCCCAGCTGGCCTCGTTCTTAAGGCTGTCCTCCTGCTTCAGCCTCCAGAGTGCAAGGATTAACTTATAACGACCACATCCAGCTTGGGTGCTGATTTATAAAGGAACTTTCTTTTCCCACTAATTTTATAAGGTTACAAAGGCAAAGAGGAAGAAATTCAATGATTATATAGGGTTGTTTACAACAGCTTCTTGATTAACCCAGAAAAGAAAGAGATTAGGAAGGTTGTTTAGATTCTAAGTATGCAAGTTATAGAAAAGAGACATTTTACAACATTTTGTTTGTTTCCAGTGACAGGAAAATCCTCATTCAGATAGAAATCAGGATCAAAGGACAGAATTCATGAGAGAATGAGCACACTGTCAGGTATCTGTTTGGATACATGTAAAAGAAAACTCGAGCTTGGTAAGGAGAATGTCACTACTACATGACTTCACAAGAAGTTCAGGGCTAAGCTAACTTTCCTGGCTGCTTGACCCAGTCATCTAGTTTCTTTAGCTCTCTTTGCTGTCATTGTTGTAGACTTGACTCTTTCCCTAGCTCTACAAATAGGAGTTAGTAGTTGTACATGTTTTATACTGCATATGTATATGAAAATGTGTCCAGAAGATAAAAGCCTCTTCTTTTCTTGGTTGTATGTCTGTTTAGAAACAATGAAACATTGCTTACAGGTCCTCTAGAAGATTCTTCCATTTTGTTATCTAGAATTTGATTCAATACATCGTTCGTAAACTAGTGACAGACATGGGTGTAGGGTGTGATAATCATTTGGAGTAGAGTAGATGTGTGGAGGAAGTGCAGTCTCATATAATTATAGTAACTAATGTAATAACTCCTCTGGAAGTAGATGAAAAGTTTACTGAGAAGAAAAGCAAAGTGGCCTGGAGTCCCAGCTCCACTACCTGAGATGTGTGTGCGTTTGATCAAGTTCCTTAATTCTCTAAATATGGACTTCCCCATCTTAGAAGAGGAGCTCCAGATCCTCTCAGAGTTGTTTTTAGACTTAAACGAACTAAAACAAAACAGATTTTAACATTTGGCAGCATCAATAAGTACAGTTCTGTTGCTGCTGGCAGTACTTTTATCTGTCACTTTGTACCCAAAGAAAACAGGAATTTGCATTTTAAAGAGTTTTCTCTTTCTCTGAGGTTGTAATATAAAGTGCCTATACCAAAGCTGTTGGTGGTCATGTCCTTATTTAGAGTGTTTTTGTTTTTTTGTAATCTGGTAACAAAATCTATGAACTCTTAAGGGCTCTTCATGGGGAAGACATTGGAATTCAAGAATCTATTGATTATAAGGGATAAAGATTTTAAAGGTAGTAAATAAAATAGAGAATGGTGGTGAGAAATCACCAGAAAGCAACTATTCTTCCCGGCTTCAATTATTCTTTCTTTTCCCATTTGTATTTATATTGATGCCAAAAATGATTTTTAAGGTGTACATGGCCGTGCTTCAGTGAAATAAAACATATTTTCAGATTATTTATTAACTATTTTCTGCTGCTTCTGGTTTCCAGCCTTAAATTGTCATCTTTTTCCTCTCCGAGTTTTCCTTCTTTCGGGGTCTTTGTTGAGGTCACATGTTTCTTTATGAGCTCAGTAGTAACTTTATAGTGACTCATGTAGTCATCATGGGAACCTAAGTTTAGTATGTGCTGCTGCTAATGCAGTGTTTCTGTTGTGTCAACTAATAATTTACTTTGGGGGGCGTTGAGACAGAGTTTCTCAGTGTAGCTTTGGTGCCTGTCCTGGAACTCCCTCTGTAGCCCAGGCTGGCCTCGAACCCACAGAGATCCGCCTGGCTCTGCCTCCCCAGTGCTGGGATTAAAGGCGTGTGCCACCATCTCCTGGCAGTTTACTATTTGTATTTGGGTATCATACTGGGAGGTTGAAGAGCCAGCTGAGATAGAACTCTTCTTTTTTATACTTGCAGATGGCTTGTTCAATCAGTATATCAGTCAGCAGGAGTATAAGCCGAGGTGGAGTCAGATCATTCCTAAGAGCACCAAAGGTGAGTTGCACTGTCTGGCTTGTTCTGTTTCTTCTTTACAGTCTGTTTTCATTAGATGGCCCAAGCATCTTCCTACTCTGTCAATAAAGAGCAGGTATTTGATAGAGAACATAGGTTCCTTATCTAGGTAGCAGAGAGGATTATTATCATAATTTTTTTCCCTGAGGCTAGGGATTGAACTCGGCTTTGTACATGATAGGTAAGCACTCTTACCCGTGAGCTATAGTCCCAGCCCTAGTTTATTGTATTTAGATTATCTTTTAAATTCTTGTTTCATCACTGTGACAAAATGTTGCACAAGGTTGTTTGTTCTTTACACAGAATGCTGTTACAAACTCCTTTCATGGAGGTGTGTAAAATAGTAGGCACGCTGTGGTGCCACCGTATGTGTTCCTGGAAAACCAAGTTCTACAAAATCGCTACTAAACATAGCAGGACCTTTTGAGAATAAGAGGGGCAGGCGATAAACTTTAATAGAATTGCTATGTCAACTGTCATTGACATAGCAATTCTATTAAAACACAGTACAGTTGAAGCTAAAAGGCACTTCATTTGAATCAGAGTGACTTAGTGACCACATCTAATGCTTCCTTCTTGGAGACACAGACCCTAGGGGGCATTTATTTCTAATAGGGACTTGTTTGTTTGTTTTTAAAACTCAAAATCTGATTCAGAATTTAGTCTTCTTCATTAACACATTATTTTTGTATGAGCAGATTTTTTTTGTCACTTTATTGTATGCATTCACTTTTGACAGATAGAAACATTGTTTTACTGCACATGTTTACATTGAAGAAAGATGGCTCTCGAGGTATTCAGTTGGTTTTTGTGGTCTTCATATGTCTTCAAGGCTTTCTCTTCACTTGTGAGAAAGTTTTCATAGCATTACTCATTAATATATGCCAAAAATTCCTCCTGAACTTATATAAGCTCTGTTGTGTGAACATACTCCCACTTTCATAGTTCTGTGTATGGTGACTTATTCAAAGACACACGTATTTGAAAATAGATTAAATACACAAAACACATGGTAGAAATTAATATTTTAGTGTTTTGCTAATTTATTCTTGAAAAAAGCAGTACAGACTGACAGGAGAGAAGAGAAGGGCAAGTCCTCAGTGATGACGGTCATCAGGATCTGATGGGCATCTAGCTGTGAGGAAGGAAAAAGACTTGTCGAGTACAGTGGTTTGGCTCTGTGCCCTGTTTCTGTGTATAATCATGGGCTTCATAATGATGATCCCATGAGCTTTAATTGAGCCGCAACATTCCTATTTAGTGTTAGTACTGAGCCTTTTTCTGTGATTAGCTGTTCTGAAAAATAGAGGCGTTGTAGCTGGCTGAAGTACTTAGTAGTAACATGTTTTGCCATATGGCTAGGTGTGCAATAGGCAGTCCCATGTTGATTTCTGTAAATACACTCTCTGACGTGTACACAAAGACAGACTCGCCTAACAGTGCATTTCTCAAAAAGTATTCCTCATCAGTAAGTTACTCGTGGCTGTATCAAAACTGATATTTCAGTTACTTTATAGTATTCCTGTAAAACTCCTGTGCACAGTTAGATGGTAAGTTTTACATACAAAAATCAGGGAAGTTCATTTGCCAAACTAACTTATTTCTACTAATGGGAGATTTATGATGAAAACCTTAGGCTTCCTGGTTTATATCAAATGTGATATTGGAATCCTGTAATCTTAGGGCTGAGAGCATAACTCAGTGGTTGAATACTTGCTTATCACTTGTGGGGACCTAGGTTTGTTCCTCAGCACACATGCACACACACCATTTTCTAGAATCCTGTAACTTCTTCAGTATTTGAAACAAAGGTATTTCTTCCTTTATTCTTCCTTTCACTTATTTATAATATTTTGAAGGAGTGCATGTGGAGTATTGTTACTATTTTTTATAGACGTACAAGTGAGGTTACTCCTCTAGAATTGTAAGTTTTATTGTATCTTTATAGAAAATACTTTTTCTTCTTCAGGTGATGGAGAAGATAACCGGCCAGGAATGAGAGGGGGCCATCAGATGGTTATTGATGTTCAGACAGGTGAGTCATGCTAGCAGTGTCCCAGCAGAATTCTAGAGCTAAAGTGTACGTGGAGTTCAGCAGTAAATTCAGGCAGTACATGCCAGAATTCATCATTGGCCTACATTTATATTACTTCCTAAGGGAGGACAGCGTTGACTGCATACTATCTGAACATCGACACTGAGAGAGCAGGCTGCTGTACAGCTGACCATCGACACCCTAAGAGACGCGTTCTTCACATAATTCCACTTGATAAAACTTTACTCTGACCATGCCAGGATTTGCTCACGGAGCATTTTACTTTTCTGAGAGTATTTACACCATTTTGTTACTTTGTTGTGCTGACTCAGTACATCAGGAATAAAAATATTTCTTTTGTAGATTCATATTATTTTATAAGTAATTAGAAAAATATGATATACTAAATCTTGACTATTTTCAAAAATTGGTATTAATAAGAATTGAATATTTAACTTGAAACTAAGTGTTAGATATATATTTATAACAACTTTTAGAATTTGAAAATACTATTAGAGTATCTTTGGAAAAGTTTTCTTTCAGGGTATAGGATTTTGTTTTCTAATCTGTTCCCCTTCTCACAAATACTCGCCTGTCCTACATAAGTAGGCTTGAATACGATATAGCCTTTTAGGCATTAGTTTTCCTGTTTCAGAGTAACAAGCATGCCTATGTTTGTTTGTTAAAGGGGCAAATTTATACATAAATTATTTTCTTACTAATAATACACTAAGGGAAATTGTTTAGAAAAACCCCTTTAATTTCCAGCAAAATGCACTTCACCCCAGAGTTTCAGGGTCCTTATTACTATGCTGTCTGTGAGAAAGAGACAGTGCATGATGGGGAAAGAACACATGGGAAAAAAAAGATCATTTAAATAAAGAGAATGTATGGGATTTTAGGAGGAAAACAAAGATTCAAGTGATAGACAAATGTCATGACAGAACTTAGTATGACCAATGTGGCTGAGGTTCAAGTTAGCAGAGGTCCTTCTCTAGAAGCTCAGAAGATAAAGGTATAGACATCTTTCCTGCCATACTGTTTTATGCAATAGCGACAGAATTTCAGCAGGTTCTCTGTGGCCCACGGCCGTATTGCCATTCCTGTTTGTCTAACTGTAGAAATTCTAGTTTTAAGAAGAGTAGTGGGGGGGCTGGAGAGATGGCTCAGAGGTTAAGAGCACTGACTGCTCTTCAAGAGGTCCTGAGTTCAATTCCCAGCACCCACATGGTGGCTCACAACCATCTGTAATGAGATCTGGCACCCTCTCCTGTCTACATAATAAATAAATAAATCTTTAAAAAAAAAAAAAGAGTAGTGGGAATGATTGTTACAGTCATGTGATTTTAATCTTGTATGTGTGTATTTTACACACACACGTGCTTGTATGCCCTCATGTTTATGTGTGTGCTCCATGCATATGTTTTTGCATATTTATGCATATGTATGTGGAGACAGAGGTTGACACTGAATGTTGTCAATCTCTCTCCCCAGTGCTGGGATTGCTTCTGCATAGCTGCATCTGGCTGATTTATGTGAGTGTTGGGATCCAACTCAGGTCCTGTGTTTATATGACAAGCACTTTAGCTGCCATCTCTTAGCTCCTGATGTTAATTTCTTTATGATGGCGTCTCTATTTATAACTCCCTACCCCCGTTACTTGGTGAAAATGTAAAATACTGCACTGAATAAGAATGGCGATTTTAGAAGAGATGCCTTCAGTTTTCCCACATCCAGCATGATTTCTGCTCTCAGTTTGTTATGCACATACTTTATTATTTTCAGGCATGATTCTGCTGTTGTTCCTGATTTCTTTAGGGCTTTTTTATGAGGTGTGTTGAATTTTCTCAGATACCTTTTCTGTGTCTGTTATGATCCTGTGATTTTTGTCCCTTGATGTTATTTATATGTTGTATTATATTTATTAATTTGCATATGTTGATACATCCTTATATCCTCGGAATGAAACCAACATGATCATGGTATATAGTCTCTCAATGTAATGTTTGCAAGACTTTTATTAAGGATTCTTATATGTATATTCATCTAGGACATACGTCTCTGTTCTTTTTGTGACGTCTTTATGTTATCAAGATAATACTGGCTTTATAGAGTGAGTTTAGAAACAGTCTTTTTCCCCCCCTGTTTTATGGGATGGTTTGAAGAACATTGCTCTTGGTTCTGTAAATGTCTTGTTAAATTCTACAGTGAAGCTGTCTAGTCCTATGATTATTCCTCTGGTGTGGTCAGAGATGCATGTTCTAAAAGGAGATGGGAGTAAGCTCTCCTTCCTAGCTAGTAGTGTAGTAGTCTCAATGTAGTTTTCCTCTGTTGTTGTAGGGTGTGTGAATGTCCAGAGCAGTTCTTCAGCCTGTTTGGAGTCTGTTCCTCATTGAGGTTTCTCCTAGTCTCAGAGTTTCTATGTGTTTACTGAGGTCTGAGCAGGGCTGGATGGAGTGGAACATGGTGCTGTCTCATAGCTGTACCAGGCATTTTCATCAGCAATAGAGTGTCTACTCAGATACAACAGCTGTCGTGGGCCTTTCCAGTATGGCATAAAAAGGAGAAAACAAAAGAACCACAAAGAGCAGTCAGTTGGCTACAGAAAGAAATGAAAAGCCAAGCACAAGTAGGCATAATGGTGAATTATGGAAAACTAAGTAAATTGTATTTTGGCTTATTTAAAGTATGTCAAACCATTTGTTGATCCCCAGTGTTTCCTATATCTTGTTTTCTTAAACATTAAGGCTAATAGCTCCTAAATTTCATTTCCCTTTTCAGTCAATAGTTGTTTGTTTGCTTAATGCCATTTCCCTGTCAGATCCAAGGATAGAATAACCATAAACATGCACAGTGGCTTAAATTTTACTGTTAAGTTGCCCAAACTTCTCCCGTCATACAGGACTCACACTGGACCATACCTTGGTAGCAGACGAATGTGGTACTTTGGCCTACTGTACTGTATGTTAGTTTTATTGATTGTCATCCCTGAACCTGACACCTCTCCTCTTAATAGACTTTAATTGTGAATTTGGGTTTCAGCTGTGGTTTAGGTAAAACAGTTGTGTGGAGATTTTGTTTCAGTGTGGATTGTCTTGTGTTAAGTTATTCTTCCTATGTAATTATTACTGAATTTTGGGAAGAGACTCATGGAACACATACCCATTATTTGATAGCTGCAGAAGAAGATTTGGGGGATTTGTCTTTCGGAAGCTCTCATCTCTGAGTTTCTGAACCTGTTCACAAAAAATCAAAAATGTGTTTCTGTTTTCCTTGACGTTTTTAATGAAGTGGTTAAAGAGGAATTTGGGTTTTTAATTGCTATCAAACTCTCATGTGGTTATACTTCTGCTTCTTTTTTATTGTGTGTATGATTCCTGTTTGGGCCTGAGTGTCAAGATATGTTTATAGAGGTCCGGGGACAACTTTGTATAGTCAGGTGAACGCAGGTCATCAGGATTTACCTACCCACTGAGCCGCCTCACTGGCTTTTGTCTCCTTCTTGATTGTTGATTTATGTCTGACTTTTTGGCTTTCTCTGTTAGCTCATAATTTGATACAGTCTGTAGTTTCAAAATGACAGACTTGTTTAATTATGAATAGTGTGCCATCTTGTGGAGGTTTATGCAGTTGGCAGTCTGATTTACTCAGAATGGAGTGGTAGAAACTGCAGTTGAGCACTTGAAGTAAAAAAGCCCGTTTTAGTTTACACAATGTGTGCAAATGGTGTAAAAGGTGTGCAAGTGATGTAAAAGGTGTGCAAGTTATGTAAAAGGTGTGCAAGTGATGTAAAAGGTGTGCAAGTGATGTAAAAGGTGTGCAAGTGATGTAAAAGGTGTGCAAGTGATGTAAAAGGCCAAATTCTTTACTTGTGTTAATTATCTCTCTTCTTTTTAATCCATGTACAATGTGTAAATTGTGCTGCTGGGAATAAGTAGACCCACGGCTTATTAGGTTCTGGTACCAAATAATGTATCTTTTGTACCAAGGAATAATAATTGAATTGTAATATTTATGGAGTAATAATTGATAGATTGATTGTTGATTATCTGATGTGGTCTCTTAAATGAAATTGGCTTGACATTTTGAAAATAGGCTACTACTAACTTTATTACCACCAATCTCTCTCATTCCCCATGTCTTCCTTTTTAGTTAGTTCTTCAGCAAGTTCAGATTCTAATGCCTCTGCTTAACATTGTTTATAGTTCCTTCAGTGTCTGTGGAATTAAATTTGAACCCTAGTAATTGAACCTTGACTGTGATCTAGTCACTGTCTGTCTTTTTAAACTTCCTGTCTGCCTACAACCTTTGTGTCCTGATTTTATATACATTTTCTGTAATTTACTTATTCACCACACAATTTAACTTCTTTGCATACAACATATAATTTTAGTTTTCACTGTATCTTTAGGAAAGATAAGCATATCACATTTTAGAGCTTAGGAAACTAGTGGTTAGGGTTACAAAGTCAAGATTAAGGCTACAATATGCCTGACTTTGGAGTTTATGGCTTTTCAAACACTTTGGTTGTGTTCTGTCTCTGTACCTTTGTTATTTTACTTTGCTGCTTTTCTGTCCCACATTCTACTTACTAGAACACAAAGCCACATTCTAACCCCAGGACAGAGACTAGTCTTACCACAAATCTGCCAAGTTCTCAGCCACGTGTCTTCTCCCCTTTAGAACACCAGTTGTGCTTTTGCCTTTGTATGGCACTTGGGTCTGTTCTGCATTGTGGTGACTTATGTCCCCTTTTAGAGTTGTGGCTAGATTGTAAGTTCTTCAAGGACAAGGGACTATTCATCTTTCTTTTCATTTCCTACAGTGGTTTGTGAGTTCAAATCAGTGCTTAAAACTTATCAGATAGATATTGCTGAAGAGCTAGGACAAATGCAGAGCTGTGTTAGTCTATATTCCTTTAAGGGGGAAAAATGGAAAGAAAAGGTTGCTGCTTGAGGAAGATGATGTTGCCTAGGATATACAGGCGTGTTGTAATAGGACTTGTGGGGAGCATGGGTTTCCAGGAAGCCAGCTTTCCTGCTAAGATTTCAGCTTTTCCTCTTTCTTTTCTACACTGTACTTCTCACCATGGTTCTCTCTAGATAACTTCATAGTTTAAGTCTTTCTGCCTTTTATGGTTTAATGACATTTCTTGGTATTTGTTTCTAGATGGTTTATCTCTGTGAGACTTAAATGATGAGGGATTGAATTAAAATTTTTTGTTGCACCTTTTTTATTCAGGTACATCAAAATAAGTTTCTCCAAAATTCATTTAGTTGTACTATTGCTTCAGTTGGACCACAAAGCTTCCATGGACAGGAATGACATCTTTGTTTAATTCTTTTGGGATGCTTGCCCTATGCCAGATTTTCTTTTGCTCAGCTATCAATGAGGCTGTTGTGGAAATGTGGGTTTTCTTTGCTGTGAGAGTTTATGCGTACAAAGAGACCTGCTTTTCAGAAAGAACATTGAGAACTCAGAGCCTAAGAGGAAGGGTTATTAAAGTTAATGAACCAGGGTAACCTTATCCAGAGAGTGCCCAGAAGTACTATAAAACAAAAGGTCAATTGCTATTGCTATTTTAGTTAGATGGGCCTCCCTCTACAAGCTTCAGAAATTAACAGGGTTAACTGCTGTTATAGTGAGGTCTTGGCAAATAATCTTAAGCCAGATGAAAATTCTTTGTTCTTTTTCCTGTAAAATTATGTATCTGGACATTACTGTATGCCATCTGGGAAACAATATTATTTAACTGATGATAATGGATTGTTTTATAGTTATGAAATAAGACAGAGTTTTAGTACTCTAAAATAATTGCCATTATTTCATATTTTTACAGTGCCAAAGGGATTCCAGGTTTTGGTTAGTTTGGAGTCTAGTACGGTAATGCTATTGTTACTGTGTCTGAGGTACTTAGGAACTGAAAGGTAGCTCAAGTTTTATTTGTTTGTTTTTCCTCCTTTTTAATAGAAATGCTTATTTTTGACAACTTGTATAACTTAAATCTGAGGGACCTCTAAACAGAGTTTTATAAATAAAAAAAACAAAGACTAAGGAAGAATAAGTGGCTTGTGCTTGATTACTCTTTATTAATTTCTTACCACTCTTTATTAATTTCTTACCACTGTTACTGGATACCTCAGAAAAATAACTTAGGGGAAGAAAGTATTTTGGTTCGTGGTTTTAGAGTTTTTTAGTCCATTATGGCAGGGATGGCATAAAAGAATGGGTTGCATCATGGTGGCAAGGAAGCAGGGAGCGCAAGGAAGGGAGAAAGGAAGGGAGGGTGTAGCTGGAAGTTTTTTCTGTGTCCCAGTGTTCGGGACACATCTCTCCCACTCGTGATCCCAAGTAAGCACAGAGAGGCTTATGTTAATTATAAGTGCTTGGCCATTAGCTCAGGCTTATTACTGACTAGCTCTTACACTCAAGTTAACCCATAATTCTTAATCTGTGTTTAGCCAGTAGCTTGGTACCTTTTCTCAGTTCTGCCTTGACATCTTGCTTCCTCGATGTCTGGCTGGCAACTCCTGACTCAGCCCTTCCTCTTCCTAGAATTCTCCTTGGCTGCTCGCCCCGCCTATACTTCCTGCCTGGCTACTGGCCGATCAGTATTATTTATCAGCCAACCAGAGCAACACATATTCACAGCATACAGAACATATCCACAGCTGGAGGGAGGGAAAGAGGGAGGGAAGTGGAGAAAAAGAGAAGATACTGCCCTTAAGAACCCTCTTGCAGCTATGCCCCCTCTTCAAGTTCACAGAGCCTACCAAAGTAGTGCTTCTAGCTGTGCCTTGAGCCTCTAAGAATGAGCCTATAGGGGACAGAAGTTCAAATCCCAAATCTCTGCTAAGACTCAAGGCAAGCTCTTAAAGGTAAGCCTCTTTAAAATAAGTTGGATATACTTCAAACATAAAATGAACATGATAGACATCTCCATTCCAAAGTGAAGGAATGGAGGCATGGAAATGAAATCTGTAGCTCTTGTCCAGTATCTGGGGTATGTGATGGTATGATACGAGAAAGAGACACGTTTTTTCAGAAATCCATTGAGAGCCCAACTCTGAAAGGGATTGCTTTCCCACCATTTGATGGATCCAGCCCACAAGGCCTCTCTTTAAGGCTAGCTTTTCTTGTTGGCCTTACAGCATTCCTCAGTATACGTCTATGTTCCTGAAATCTCTTAACTTCCTGGGTGTGTATTTGTGTCTTTGGATTCATTCCCACAGCTTCGTGCCTTTTCCTCTCAGGCACCCGATGGACACATTGTCTCACTTCTCAGCCTAACTTTGAAGTCTGAATAGAAACCCTCACGACTCTGACTCTAGCATTCTATATGTCTGCAAAAGCATGAAGTCCACTGCTACCTTAAGTGGACTCAGTGCCTGGGTAGCTCAGCATAGTTAAATAATCTTTGGGAAAATAACTTGATACGGTGTGAGGTCAGAGTGCCCTAGAAGCACTGATTTCTCAATGAAAAGTCTTCTAATGTGTTTACTCTGTGCATTGGGTGTTAATCGGGCCAGTTCCTGAGATGCTCCCATGTCACTTTTCCTGTTGTTTCATTGAAAAGAAACTGGCTTCCTTTTTAATGGTTTAAGTGGTTCAGAAACCATGTCTTCCTTAGTTTTAAATGTGTATAGAGTTTTTCTAAACCAAGTTTTTCAAGTCTTTCTATCAGCCTTTTGCTTCCAATTTTCTCTGTAAACCAGGTGAAGACCATGGTCTTCTGATCTTCCACGGAAATTGCCATCTAAGCTCCACCTCTAGCATCCTCGGTTTCCTCTAGCTGGTTTCTCTGAACTTTTCTAAACTCTTTCTGCAAACCAATTCCAAAGAACCATATGGCCTTGGTTAGTCACCAGCAACAGCTTAGCTCTAGTATCAAATTTCTGTATTAGCAAGGCTTCTTGTCACTGTAGCAAAACAATTTAGGCTTGCATTTTTAGAAGATTTTCATCCACCAGTGTAGGAAGGGGTTGGCAGAACCACTCACACCATTGTGGCCAGGAGAGAGTACAAGAGGCCAGGACAGCATATTGTCTGAAAGGACACACTCCTAGTGACCTACCTCTTACAGCTAAGGCCTCCTTCTAAGAGTTGTAGAAACTCCAAAATGATACCACCAGCTAGGAGCAAAGCTTCCAGGATAGCCTTTGGGAGACATTTCCTTTTCAGACTATAGTATCCAGTTAGCACAAGAACTGAATCTTCCTCCAGTGGGTGGTTCTTCTGACAGCAATGAAGCATTGTGAACATTTTACTCAGAAAATTTGCTTAAAATTTTAAGTTATATGAAAACATGACAGCCCAGCTGTGAATGGAAAGGGGTTTAGTAATGTAACAGTATTTTCACGTGTAGTTTTGAATTGTCTATCTTTAAGATCAGTCACACTTTAGATGATAACTGCCATGTATATAGTCTTAAATCACACACTTGTAGGCATAACATATTTACAAAGGGGGAAATATTTAACAAAAGGAAAGAAGGCATTGTATAGAGAAGGATCTGTGATATAATATGTATATTCACTGCTCACTGAGGCAAATAATTTTGTCACAGTGGTAAAGTTTATAAATGCAGTAGACATTTTAGAGTGACAAGAAATTCACTTCTCAAAGTATTAGGTTAATCTTTGAAAAGGAAGATTATTACAACATATTTGGGAAAATATTAGCCCAATATTCATGGGACTGCCATTGTTTTATATCAGTTTATTCTTAACTTTCAGCTAGTTTTAACCATTATTTGGCAATAGGAAGACATCACCTTTAATGTTATCCTTTCTCACTGCACCCCCCCATAACAGCTACATGTCTTCATGTAATCCTTTAAATTTTGAGTTTTTTTTAAATAGTTCTGTCTTTTTTAAATAGTTCTGTCAGCCTTTAGTCGCTAAAATGTGGTCCAACAGACCAATTCTTAAACTGGCTGCACCAGGTTCATATGGGAGACTTTAAAAATACAAACTCTTTAGCCACTAAAGAACTTTGGAATCAGAATCTTGGGGAGCATGGCCTACTGATCTGATTTTTAAATAAATTTCTCAAAATATGGTTCTGCAGTAGTCTTTCCATATACTTAGGTTTAACATTTTTGAAAGCGACAAGTTTAAAGATAATACTGTAAGAAATGTGAAAAGTGCCTTCTGAAGTGTTCTTTGAAACAATTGAGTGAGTCTGGTGCCTTAACCCTTGTTCCTATGGCTTTTTTTAATCCATACTTTTTTGATTTTCATAGAGACTGTTTATTTGTTTGGTGGCTGGGATGGAACACAAGATCTGGCTGACTTCTGGGCATACAGTGTGAAGGAGAACCAGTGGACATGTATCTCTAGAGACACTGAGAAAGAGGCAAGTTCCTAGTCTTTTCATTCATTGGTATCACAGTAGGAGCGTGGTATACACTTCTGCATGCTTGTTTTCTTCTCGGGTGTTTCACAACAGTGGTAGTACAGAAGAATTTTGAAGTAAGAACATCAACTGGATTCAACAACTCTCGCGTTTGAATTTCTGCCCCTGGCCCATCAGGTAGTGGTCTATGTAGCTATTTTGTAGAGTTAAATAGCAATGTTTTTGGTTTTGGTTTTGTCTTGAATTTTAAGCTACTTCACCTGAGAAATGTAACCGTGTAAATCTTTCCATGCCCTGGCACTCTGCTCTCGTTTTCAGCATTCATCTCCCAGCCCCCTCCCCTCCCCTGCACTGGTGAGGATGGAACCTGGCCTCAAAGTGCAGTATCACTGAGCTAGTCTAGCCCCAACTGTCGTATTGTATTTCCTCTGGAAAAGCATGCTTTGGATGTTTTAGCTCTACACTGTCTAGCTTTTTAAAATATATGTTTGTTTGTTTGTTATTGTTTTGCCAGCATGCATGTATTTGCATCACATGCGTGTCTGGAGCCTGCAGAGGTCTTAAGAGGTCATTGGACCCCCAGGAACTAGAGTTATGGATGGTTGTGAGCCACTATGTGAGTTCTGGGAACTGAATCCAGGTCCTCTGCAAGAGCAGCAAGTGCTCTTAACTGCTGAGCCATCTCTCCAGCCTTTTGTCTCATTTGTCCATTTTGTCTCTATTTTGACCTTCACTGTTTCACTATACAGTCATGTGCTGCATAATAGTTTTTAACCATTGATAGTCCATGCCCATGGTGGTGGGCTCATAAGATATTGTTTAGGGCTATTACAGACATATTTGTTTATATAGAGACAATATAGAATGTTGGCACATGATGAAATTGCCTAACAATGCACTTCTCAGAATTAATCCTCATCATTAAGCTATACCTGTCAGTTTTCATAAGTGATATTTATTTTAATTAAAATAGTATCTATACATATATTTGTGTTTGTGTCTATATATGTATAAATGAAGCATTTCTATAATGAAAATAGCTTTGATTTATGGATTTGAATTAAATAATTACATGGTTATATGCAGGGGAAAAACAGATATTATTCATCTTTCCCCCAAAATTCATGTAGACGTATTCTCCATCTAAGCTATATCAGATTGTAGGTTGGGGGAAAAAAAGAAAAAAAGAAAAAGAAAGCAAAAGAGAAAAAGACCTAAGTCAAACCCACTGATTTTTGTTTAGGGAGGCAGATTAAAAAAATCTGGAGGTGTGCCTTCAGTCTTTGTTATTTTGCCTTTTTTGTTTTTTTCCAGAGCTGAGGACCGAATCCAGGGCCTTGCGCTTGCTAGGCAAGCTCTCTACCACTGAACTAAATCCCCAACCCCTCCTTCAGTCTTTGAAAATTGAGTTCTTTCTTACTCAGTCTGCTCCAAGGATTAATCATTTAGGTAGCACTTATTTTTTCCATAAGACCTTGAAATTCTGATTTCTTTTTCTAATCCCAGGTACATAAAAATGATCTTCTATTTCCAGTGTTGAAATATCACTTTTTGAGATGGTTATTTCTGTCCTCAACAAAAATAAAGACATATCTAAAATCACTTAATTTATTTATTCTCAGCTATTTTAAATTGAGTTAGTTACATCTTTAACTATTCTTCCAGTAAGCATGGGGTTCATCTTAAAATCTTCCGTTTCATTGATTGTATCAAATTTATGCCAAAGGTCCATTGATGTCAATACTGCATTTCAAATGTCCTTTCGTCTCTATTTCTTTTCATGCTATTTTTTCTCTGTCTCTGCTTCCCTCTCTTCCCCTCTTCACTCCCTACTCTACCCAACTTAGGAAATTGCCTAGACTGGCCTTGCTTTGTAATACTTCTTCATCTTCCTGGAATTACAAAAATGCATGACCATCTTAGGAGTTGCCTTAAGTTTGAGTCCAGCTAGGTGTACATGGGAAGTTTCAAGTTAACCTCTGCCACACACCCAGACCCTGCCTCTAAACAAGTAAAAAAGTAAACAAAATTAGTAAATGAATAATCTTTTGGTTTTTTCGAGACAGGCTTCTCTGTGTAGTTTTTTGGTGCCTTTCCTGGATCTCGCTCTGTAGACCAGGCTGGCCTCGAACTCACAGAGATCTGCCTGGCTCTGCCTCCTGAGTGCTGGGATTAAAGACGTGCGCCACCGCTGCCCGTCATGAATGATCTTTTAGAAACATCTAGCTTTGGTCCCTGTTGAGTTTTCTTTAACATTAGTCATTCATAGAACTTTAATGCTGTATAGTAGTAAGCATTTCTTTGCTTGTGAGGCAGTAAGTTGGCTGGGTCGTTCTGTTAGTAGGAGCACTCATTTGGGAGACAACTGTTGGCTAGTTTAAGGTTGCTTCAGCTGAGACTACATGGGTGTGCTTTACGTAATTGTTCGCCTATCTGTAGGCTACCTGGGACTTGTTCTTAGAGCAAGGGCAGATGTTGTGGGATATTTGTACACTGTGTGAAGATGTGTCACTGTGATTGGTTTAATAAAAAGCTGAATGATCAATAGCTAGGCAGGAAGAGGTTAGGCGGGACTTCTGGGAACAGAGAAGATGCCAGGAAAAAGAAAGATGGAGTTGCCAGCCAGACACAGAGAGGAAACAGGAAGTGCAAGATGGAAGAGAGGTAATGCCATGTGATAGAATGTAGACTAACAAAAATATGGGTTAATTTAAGTTACAAGAGCTAGAGGGACAAGCCTAAACTAAGGCTAAGCTTTCATAATTAATAATAAGTCTCTGTGTCATTATTTGTGAGTGAGCTGGTGGCCCAAAAGAAAGTCCAGTTACAGCAGGGCTGCCAGGGGATGAAATGGCCATGAACACTCCACCAAGTTTGCTTCTGTCTCCTCATTTGTCAAAGGGAGTCAGACAACTTAAGTTCAGAGTCCATGTATGGTGGGATGTTCAAAGGTGTCCATACAAGAAAGCATGGGGGGAAACCAAAACAATAATAAAACACTGTATCTACCCCAATTTCTTTAGTTTAGTGACAGCCCCAGTTCTCATGCAGCCATATACCCTGCCTGACTGTGTGTGACGACCGACCGCATTGACCATTTCTGCAATTTTACAATGTCTTTGCCTGTCTCATTTGCCAGTGTTTTCCCCGTGTTCTCAGTCAGCTCTCCCATTTCCAGCTTCAGTCTATATGTTCTTTAACGTTCAATTGAGACTTCCCTTGTTCAATATAGCCTTTCTGAAGCTCTCTGAGCAGAGTTTAAAACTCCTTTGATGCACCCACCTTCACCTGAAACGGGTTTGTTTTCCCACCTAGAGTCTGAATTCCTGATAGGCATGAAGCATATTATTTAGAATTTATGTATTTTAAAGACGTAATAGATATGTTTATTCTTTTGTAAGTGATCAGATAAGGTAAATTAAATAAAAAGCTGGTTTTGGAGTAAAGCAAAGGAATGATAAATACAAAATTCAGGAGATTGGGTGCCCAGATATGAGGCTTTATGAGTAGCACTGATGTTTTGTGTTTTTGAGACATTGTCTCACTAGGTTGGAAGCAGACTGGCCTCAAATTCAGGGCTGTGCTTGTTTCCCTTCTCCTGGCTTTACATATTCTGTGCCGAGATTACAGGCATGTGTCACTGTGCCCAGCTCATTTGATTATTTTTTATACTGTATATATATACATTGTAATATGAAAAATGAAATTGAAAATCACAGTGATTATTTTGATGAGAACATTTTCTGTTACTTTGAAGATAATAAAATGTTTCAGTATTGGAGCTCAGGTTTATTATAGTTTGTTCCATCATATAGATAGATGCCTGTGGTGATTTGAGTAAAAATGGCCTCCACATGCTAATATATTTGAATGCTTAGTCATCAGGGCGTAGCTCTGTTTGAGAAGGATTAGAAGGATCAGGAAGCATGACTTTGTTGGAGGAAGTGTGTCACTGGTGGTGGACTTTAGGGTTTTAAAAGCCCATGCCATCTCCAGAGTCTTTGTCTTTCTCTGTCTCTTCTCTCTTTCTGCCTGTGGTTCAGGATGTAGCTCTCACCTACTTTTCCAGCACCTATCTGCATGCTGCCATGCTTCCCTCCATGATAATAATGGACTAAACCTCTGAAACTGTAAGCAAACTCCCTGATTAAATGCCTTTTTTTTTTTGGTAAAGTTGTCTTGATCATGGTGGCTCCTCACAGCAGTAGAACAGCGACTAAAACAGGGCCTAAAAATCTTCAGTTGGTCTGTCTGTGAACTGATGATAACATTGCCCTAGCTTAAATAGCCCATTGTTCCTAATGTTCTGCAGCTACAGTTTTTGTACCAGTAAGTATAGATATTGGTTGTTATTGATGATGTCTCAGGGTGTGCATTTTAAAAGCATGATATATAATCAAGAAGCAAAAGTTGATTTAATCACTTGAATTTATTTAAACATGTGTCTAGTAAAACACTTAGAGATCAAAAGCTAATAGCCTGAGCTCTTAAGGAGAAAATAATTGTTTATGTAGCTAGGCAAGTACATTTTTATTGTTTTGAGTTGTTCTTTAAAGTAGTTAATAATAAAAGAAAGCTAGAATGAAATTATGAAAGGCTATGGATGTTGCCTTGTGCAAGAGCCTGGGTTTCTTGGCACTATAAGTATGCACAAAGAAAAGCATTTTTACTAAACCTGATTCACCTTCAGTATTTTTATAGCAAGAGATGTCTTCTTAGGAAAGGCCAAGTTGTAGCTTTTCAAAAAGGGAGTGCTAGGAAATGCCTTTTATACATACATTCTCACACACACGCACACGCACACGCACACACACACACATTTAATTTGTGTCTCTTGTTTTGTTAAACAGCTCTGACTTCATTCCTAGGATTATTGAACAATAAGAAATTAGACAGGGCTCTTCTTAATGGATTTTACTTGTACTAGTGATTTTTCAAATCTTAGGGTAGGTAGTAGGATTCCTTTGTGTATGTAAAAAAAAAACCAAACAAACAAACAACTTACTGGTGTTTTCTTAATTTATTTGGGTTATGCTTATTGAAAGTCACTATGTCAGAAATACCTTTAAAATTAATTAATTTACAAAAACAGTTGTATGTATTTTTGTTAAGATAACTGTTTTCAAAATTGGCATTGTTTTAGATTTTTAGAGCTATTGATAATGACTAGGTTAGTCAAGGATAGCTAGATTTTATTTATATATTTACTCTCTTAGGACATGTTTTACATGAAAAAAATGAAGAAAATTGGACCATATATAGATGTACCTGAGGCAAGAGAATGAATCTTTAGCAGCCTTTCCAGACAACTGCATATTGCTTTTTTGATCTCATGTCCCAAATAGACAAATGTTTGTTTTCTAATGGTAGTTTGTTATGTAGACCATATCACATAGCTCTTTGTATTTGCTGTGTTAAAATCCACTGGCCTGTTTGCTCATTGAATGGATTTTATAAAACCTGTACATGATTTTTCACTTATGTGTTGGTCATTTTAAAAATACTGATTCACTTCTAAATGTTGGCATATTTTAATATATGATATCCCAAAACACATTTGTTCATATCACTCTCAGTCTCAGCAGAAAAGTCTGAACATTGAGAAGGTATCAAGATCAATGGCAGCCTCACAGTTCTGATTGTTTCTTAACATATGTTGTATTATTAGCAACAGATTTATTTCCACTTTGCTTCAATTTTAATACTTTTTTAAATTTTGAGACAATGTCTATCTTAATCATAATTTTTGAATAAATATACTATTTGGATATTTTTTTGTTGTTGTTTTCTAAGACAGGGTCTCACTAATGTAGCTGTGGCTGTCCTGGAACTCACTCTATAGACCAGTCTGGCCTTGAACTCACAGAAGTCTGCTTGCATCTGCTTCCTGAGTGCTTGGATTAAAGGCATGTGCCACTGTGCCCAGCTGAATAGACACACTTTGAGTAGTTGTAATTGTTCTCCCAACATAGTCCATGAGAACTGTATATAGTCTGCATGGACTTGGAACTCCAGAAACTGCACAAATGCTTTTGGAGACAGCCATTCCCCACAAAATGACCTTGTTTTATACTGTTAAAGTCTCTAATGTTTGATGTAATAGGAGATACAATAGTGGAGATAGTTGAATCACGTCTACTCTGCACTCAGACTTTTAATGTACAAAAAGTAATGTAGCCTCGGGGAACTTTTGCCTGTGTTCATAGAGAATGAGAATGAAGAGACAGATGTTTTAAGTCTTTTCATGAAAAGAACTTTGACCCCATAGACTCCCTGAAGGACCCCAGAGAGGGGCATTCATTTGTATTATGCCGCCATTTTCCTAAACCCACTTACTAGAGTTAAGTGGCTGTGTAGGGCTAAAGACCCCTTTACTCTTCTTCTTCTTTCCTCATAACTTCTGTCTGTGTTTTCTAATGTCTTTCCCATGTCACCAGGTTGACCTTGCAGAGCACTGTTAAGTAGAGGTAGTGAGAATAAACATCCTTGACTTCAGATCTTAGTTGTAGAACATTTATGTGTTACTATTAAGTGAAAGCTAGGCTTCATATTGTCTTCATCCATTATCAGATTGAAGCATTTTCTTCCTATTCCTGATTTGCTGTTGGTTTTTTTTACCATAAACATGTATTGAATTATGTCAAAAAATCTTTCTGTATTTCTGTTAGACGTGGAATAGAACAGAGTTCAAAATGAAGTTTTTCTTCATGTTTTCTGAATTTTTTTTTGTCTAAAATTAATAGTAATTTCTTGTATGAATGCTTGGTAAAATTTACCAGGGCAGATACCTGAGTCTGTTGTTATAGGAAGATTTTGAATGATAAATTCACTTTTTAGATGGAAAGACTTCCCATTTTTACCTCATGTCTCATGGCATTTGGTAGGTTATATTTTTTCAAGGACTGTCTTTTTATGTGTATATTTCATTTGTCAAATTTCTACCTATGCTTTTAGCTATTGTCAAATTGTACTTGTTTCTCTTAGTAAATGCTATTTTCCTCATAATTCCTGTTATTCTTTAGTGATATCCCTGAGTTTATTTCTGATGTTTTAAAGTTCTTTTATTAAAAAAAAAAAACCAAAAAAAAAACCCTAACATTTTCTAGCTTTTGTTTTCTATTTCAAATTCTATTAATCTTCATTTTTAATTTTTGTTCTTCCTGGGGTATAGTTTACTTGTCATTTTAATGGTATTAGTGCTACTTTGAAGCAAGAGGTCTTTCTCGTTTAAAAATTAAAATTTCATACTAATGGAAATATAACTCCATCTTTGTTTTTGAGATTATCTAATCATGAAAGAAACTTTCCCCTAAATAATATTTCTACTTTATGTATGAAATCTTAGCAAAGAAACCCTTAAAACGTAAGTCTTAGAATTATTTGTATGACTATGAAAGTACAAATTGCACTCAGTTTATTTTCTCAATTACTGTTAGTAAGTCAAACCTTTTTCCTGTGTAATATTCCCACATTTAACCAAGCTATTTACATTATGTTACTTCTCGTATAAAGCTGCTATTTGGTCTTTTGCCTTGCTCCAGGAACTTATAGTGGTTTTTTATTTCCTTCAGATTGCACCCAGTCTCCTAGCTTCCCATTTCTTGTCATCTCAGTCATGAGCATATAATTTTATTAGCAGTTAAATTTTTGCTCATTTCTCTCTTCTGAGGAAAAAACCAATCGCCTATCAAAGTGAAAAGAACAGGGTTTTATAATGTTTTTAAATCTGGTTACAGTGGGGCTTAGATATCATTATCACTTCCTAGTTTTCTGATTCTAGACAAGTAGTTTAGACTGTGAAATAGTGATAATGGTTTCCGTATAGTGTTTTTGTAAGGATTCAGTGAAACACATCTATCTACAGTAATAATGTAAACAGAATTTAGCAAGTGTGCAGGTTGGTTTTTGTCAATTTAACACAAAACTAGACATCTGGGAAGAGGGAATCTTAATTGAGAAAATGTGCTGGCAAGTTTTATGTCACCTTGAAACAAGCTAGAGTGATTTGGTGAATAACAGTCAACCCAAGGCAACTGATGCTGACCTCAGGCCTACACAGACGTACACACACCTTTTACATTCATATGACCCTACATGCACATTTTTTTTAAAATTTCTTTTTTTGTTCACAATACTTTTAACGATACAATATGCCTTAAACTTTATTTTCGATAGAGATTGAACTGTGTTCAAGGCATATAAAACACAATGTGCTAGCCGGGCGTTGGTGGCGCACGCCTTTAATCCCAGCACTCGGGAGGCAGAGCCAGGCGGATCTCTGTGAGTTCGAGGCCAGCCTGGGCTACCAAG